ATATGGAGTCCCAACCGGCTCAGTATTCGGTCCAGTAGGGTACATCATTCATGTAAATGGAATGAGCAAAGTAGTACAATCATGTGAAATGTATATGTATGCCGATGATACTTGCCTAATGTACTCGTACAAAAATCCAGAAACGATACAAATAGTTATGCAAAAAGACTTAGACAACATTGTTAAATGGGCGCATGATAATGGTATTGTAATTAATATAAGCAAAACTAAATTTATGTTAATATCTTCGCCATACAACCGACAAAAACATGCCGAAATTGTAATTAAAGGACATACCTACGATTGTCTCCACAGAAATAGCAATGTAAATAACTGTAAATGTCTGAAGTTAGAACAAGTCGCATGCTACAAATACCTAGGACTAACTATAGATACCAGTTTTGTATGGAGTATACATGTTCAGCAAATCTGTAACAAATTACGTAGTGTGTTGGGTAAATTGTACCACCTGAAATTTAGCCTAAGCAGAAGTATGTTACATATGCTGTATTATGCGCTTGCGGATACAACTATAGATTACGGGTTGGGCAGCTATGGACTTACGTTCCCAGTGTATTTAAATAAAATCAAAGAACTACAAACAAGGTTGATAAAGATACTAGTAAACAATAAAGTGAAAATTGCGTGTAATAAAGAATATGATAAACTTTTCAAAATTTGTAAAATTTTACCTGTAGAGAAAAAAGTGAAAATAAAGTTATTAATGGAACAGTATAATAAAAATGAGTTTAAAGTAGAAAGAGAATATGGCTACCCAACTCGTCAATCCACTAGAAAAGGAAAATATGTAGTACCTAAAATTAAAAATTACTTCGGTATGCGCACGAGACGATGGGTTATCCCGCAATTACATAACGAGCTGCCGCCGGACTTGCTTAGTAAAGTTACATCAAAAAATCATTTAAAAAATATTCTAAGAAAACATTATCTATCATTGTGTCCATAAAGATACGCCACAGGCCACGAGTAACGTACTGTTAAAATTAGCAGACTATATGCGATGTGTGATGTCTGAGTATGTGTTTAATTAGTGTATATGTGTATATGGTGCGTATATATAAAAAAAACAATTCAAAAAATAATGAACCCATTTTGATATTTAAATGTTGTGGACCTCATAACAAACTTTGTACTAAATATGTATAAATAAAATAATAAAATAGATGTTTGGAGATATTAGTATATGTATAAGAAAGTATACTTCAGATTATATGTATAAACATAAGCATGTAAGAAGAGAACTACTGCCGACAAACTGTAATGCAGTTTGGCAGATGAAAATGTTAAAAACGTTTATTGTATAATTGGAAGTAAATAAATTAAAAAAAAAAAAAAATCACCAGCTGATCGACCCCGACGAAAACCGTATTGGCGGTCACTAATCAGCTGGTGATCCTCAAGGTACTGGATGAGCTGGCAGTTAATAATGGATTCCATTATTTTGGAGAACAAGGAGGTGATCGCGGTAGGCCTATAGTTGGATGGGTCTGATCGGTCGCCTTTTTTAGGGATCGGGTGGACAAAAGCTGTCTTTCATGAATTCGGGACTACGCCTTGGGAGTAGGAGTACCGGAAAAGACGCGTTAGGACCGGTGCCAACTCCGGAGCACACGTCCTCAGCACAATTGGGGGGATTCCGTCAGGCCCACTCGACTTCTGGATGTCCAGGGAGAGCAGTGCTTTGCGAACCGAGCGCTGTGAGAACAGCACATCCGGCATGGAGCACTCACACCGCGGGATGGTCGGCGGTGTTTTCCCCCCGTCATCAAGAGTCGAGTTGGACGCAAAAAGGGAGCCTAAAAGGTCGGCTTTGTCTTTTGCGTCATGGGCCAGTGAGTCATCCTCCCTGTGCAGAGATGGTAGTGATGGCTTACAGAAATTCCCTTGGACAGCCTTGGCGAGAAACCAGAATGCACGGGTTCCCAAAGGAAGGCGAACTAGTTTCTCGCCAATTCTGCCTATGTGCTCTGACTTTGCCTTGGCAATAACTCTTTTGAAGGACCTGGAGGCGAAGTTATACTTCTTTTTAAGTGTGCTGGTATTTACATCCCGAGTCGCCGAAGCCGCAGCCCAGGCTTGATAACACTCCTGCTTACTGCGTAATGCAGTCTTACAGGAGCGACCAAACCAAGGCTGAGATCTGCCTCCGATGGGTACCACAGATGATGGAATAAATAGTTCCATTCCCTGTAGCACCACATCAGTGACAGAGTCAGCAACAGCGCTGGGATCATCCGGCGAGAAGCAAACCCGCCCCCATGGGTAGGATGCAAAGAAGGACCGCATTCCGTCCCAATCCGCCGACCTGTAATGCCAAACACGGCGGCAACCTGCAGAACGCAACCGCGAAGGGAGCGTGAGTGGCACCACACTCCGGATCAGACAATGGTCCGAAGAGCCGAGAGGGGCATCGACGGAAACCTGATATCCGTCCGGATGAGAGGTCAGCAGAAGGTCCAACAGGGAAGGTGTATGATCCTCCACATCTGGAATCCGCGTAGGCGAAGTAACCAGTTGTGTCAGACCATATGCCAAGGCAAAGTCATAAACAGATCTCCCCGCATGATCGGTTAGACGTGAACCGAGCCATTCGGCATGGTGGGCGTTAAAATCGCCAAGGATCACGATCTCTGCGGATGGGACCTGTTGTAGCAAGAAATCTGTAGCCATTTGGACGTGGTCGATGAGTCGGTCTGTTTCGGCATTACCGCTATGGGATCTATAGAGGCACCCGTAGACGCGCGGATGGTCGTCGCTGTCTACGCGTAGCCAAAGGATGGACAGGTCCGAACCTTCAAGACTGCCGAGGCGTCGAGAACAGATGTCCTCTCTGACATACACGCAAACTCCAGCCTGAGGCACAAAGGAATGCTCCAATTTGTACCCCGGGTAGGAGAGATACGAAATATCAGCCGGAGAGGAAACCTGCGTCTCGGTCAGTAAGAGCAAGGCCGGCTTCGCCGTCTCGAGATGGTAGTGGACGGCGTTTAGGTTAGAGTGAAGTCCCCTGATGTTGCAGAAATTCACGGATAGCGTGGCAGGGGTCGCCTTGGTGTTCTTGCTCAGTTTGCCCCTAGCAGTAATGCTTTTGAGCGGAATTTTGCCCCCCCCCCCCCCAGAATACGCGGGGCAGCCTGAGCACCCACGCTCAGGATCGGAATAACATGGTCGTGGATGCTCAGCGAGGGATTCTCCAGGGGTGCTGGTACCCTCCTGGGGTAGTTCTTCGTGTAATTCCGCTACCATGTTGATGGGGGGGGAGGGGGGGGGGGATTGGGCCTCCGGCCACCTGCACTCACCAGACGAAACGCAGAAGCAAAGCTTCTACTTCACGCCGGTATTCTGTGAGGTCGTGGTACCAACCCGGCTCGAGCCGGCCCATACATGCAACAGCAAAAACTGCTGCGTGGCTCTACCACCGTTATGGCGCAGAATATAATATCTATGCGTGTGTGAAATTTTTAATGTATCATTTTAATTGTTATGTTGAGTTTTGTAGTGTATGACGATTATTTTTGTGTGGGAGTCTGAAAAACTGTGCGTGGCGCAATTTCACCCCGCAAAAAATGACGGACAGTTTGGTATCGGAAAATAACGCTATGGCTTCTCCCCTCCTGTGTTGCTCTATGATGCCAGTATATTCTAAGTGCGCTAGCACTTCTTACTAGTTTGTGGTTCTAAGCAAAGATATTGTATATTAAGGGCCCCCGAGACGGTCAAACGGTTTGATTCAAACAGATTTTGGTTTTAGTCAAATCAATTTGATCGTTTACGCCGTTGGTTTGACAGGTTTGATCAAACGTTACGTGTTTGAAGCTCGTTTGATGGAAATTTAAATTTTGGTTTTGTTTGAAGCACCGTTTGATCGTCTTCGCGATGTGTTTGATCAAACCTCATCAATCTTGTGCTGAATTGCAAAGCGATACGTTCTGTGTGGTTTCCAAAATGCTAAATACCTCAATGTTATAGACAATCTTTGATTTACTGGAATAGCTTGCCTCATGTTAGTAGGTATCCTGTTTTTGAATTAATGGTCGAACTTTATTCAATAAATTTTTATAAGAATCATTGTCCATCCTCAGAAGGTTCTTATAATCACCTGGCGCGCTAGTTTCTAGCACTCTTTGTAGATGTTCGTGTGAGAAACGATATCTTAATTTGTACCATTCTTTGCTTCAAATTCTTTTTCTTTTTTTTTATTATTTAAGCAAGACATTAATACAGTAAACGCGAGAAAATCACACTGCGCTCTTCTGTTTGATGCGAATTCAAAGCGACGTTAAACGGTTTGGTCAAACACGTGAGGTTTGAATCAAACCGTTTGACCGTCTGGGTGGCCCTTAATAGCTATTCTATTTCTAATATCTTTGATTCTAAGTAAAACAGTATCTCAAATCGCTGTACTTAGGAGTACTGTTCTGTGACTTGCACTCAAGTACACACACTTGAGAGTCGAGTTTCGTTTATTAATCAGTGTGGCACTCAGCTGATATCGTAAACCTAAACCGCATCTTCAGATACGTTTATTAATAAGATCATAACCTCAAGATTGTACTCAAGTGCGTGTACTTGAGCTGAGTAACGTTTATTTATACGGACCTAAGTCAATGATGTTGATCGCATATGAAAAGTAAACGTGTAGTAAAGTAGTGATTATATTCTCTTTGATGAAAAGGGAAATCTGTCATATACAATAATATGCTAATTTTTGACTAGCTACATATTTATTTATCTATGATTTTGACAGCTCAGTTTTCTCTACTTGGCTAATGAATAATGAAATTATATTACTTTTTCCTGTATAGGACAGTTACTATATATACTCTTTGATTACTTTACTCTATGAATGAAATTTAATAACCGGTAACCGGTCGAAGAGAATAATATAGCTTGATAATCGTGTTCTATCACTTAATATTATAAACTGAAGATAAATAAATTACGTACGTATTCAAATTTTGTTACATATTACATTGAAAATGTCTAGCCAGATTGACGAATACTTCGATGCTGCATTAGAACTTGTAAAGTCATCAGGAAACCTTATAAAAGAACATGTAACCGGTTGCAAGGTATTTGAACTGAAGTCCTGCGATATAGATTTTGTGACTGAAATTGATAAAAAGGTTGAACAAACGTTAATAGGCGGTCTTTCAGAAAAGTTCCCTTCACATAAATTTATTGGTGAAGAATCTGTGGCTGATGGCGCAAAATGTATCCTTACCGATGATCCAACTTGGGTCATCGATCCTGTAGATGGAACAATGAATTTTGTGCATGGATTTCCTCACAGTTGCATTTCTCTTGGCTTAGTCATCAATAAAATATCAGTTGCTGGGATAATTTATAATCCGATATTAGAGCAATTATTCACAGCAAAGAAAGGTCAGGGTGCGTTTTTAAATGGACGACAAATACACGTTTCACAAGTGAAAGAGCTTCGTAATGCTCTGGTTGCATTTGAAGCAGGAACAAGTCGTGATGAAGAAAAAACTAAAGTTGTATTTGAAAATTATAAACAGATTGTAAGTAAAGGACATGGAGTGCGAGCATTAGGCTCTGCAGCTTTAAATATGGCTATGGTAGCATTGGGTGGCGCTGATGCCAACTTTGAATTTGGTATTCATGCTTGGGATGTAGCTGCGGGCGACATCATAGTTAGGGAGGCTGGTGGTGTTTGCATAGATCCAGCTGGGGGTCCATTTGATATACTATCAAGGAGAGTTCTGTGTGCTTCTACTCCTGAATTAGCCCAAGAGATATCTAAAGTTTTATGTCAATATTATCCAGAGAGGGAATAGTAGAGGGAGTAATTGCATATTATTATATATTGTGGTAGATATTGGTTATGATATGCTTAAAAGTAGCTAATTATATAATTATTTCCAATAATATCATTTAAAATGCTATTTTGTAACATTATTAGATGTGAAATAAGTTCAGTATTAAATGTACATTTGTACAATGATATATCTAATATATTATTGTTTGTTTCGTGTTATTTTAATTTTTGATTGATTGATAACAAATTTGGAAGAAGTTTGGAAAAAGAAACTAGGTATTTGTTGCATATACTTGAAATATAATTTCAGAGATTTATTGTGATTATTATATGAAATCTAGTATTTAGTAATTCGTATCATTAAATGAAATCTAGTAGAATAAATAAAATCAAAAAAATCAGAAAAATTGGAAATTGTAATGGTTTTCTTTGCTACCTTTTTCAATACTTTCTACTATACTTTATATATAATGGTTATACATAGAATGATTGATTACTTAGTAGTCTATTGTTTTATATCTATAGATGTAATTATAAGTTGTGTTATAATCTTAATGGCTTAGTGTTAAGTCAGATTCTTAAGTGTGACAATATTCAATTTAATTAGCATTATGTTAAGTAATTTCTTTATTTATATAAATGTTTTACAGATTAAATGGCTAACAGTGTTTAGCCATTGGGGCAAATATATTTAGCTTGTGAGTGAGAGTCAATGAGAGTGATGTTTTTGATAGAGATTTCACTTTAAAATAATTATGCTTACAAATTAAATCATATTTTTCTTTCATAAATCATGTGTAAATCCAAGTATTCTTTTGTGAAATTTTGCACCACATACCACTTGCATTGGTGAAATTACACCAGCTCTAATGCCAATGGCAGAGAAAAGGAACTTATTTTAAATACCTTGGAGGCTTGATTCTGCTCTCTCAAAACTCATATGGTCTGTTGTGTCAAGTTATTGTCATGCATGGTTATCTTCATCTTACAGGCTGGCTGTTTATTTGTCTGACTGATCAAACCACTGTATTTAAATATTTGTATTTGAAATCACCGAGATATCATAAAACTGGCACTGTAATTAGTTGACTAGAAGTGTGCTGAGATGAGGGTAATTAGAGACAAATAAAATAGCAGTTATTTTGTGAGAGTTTATTTACATTTAAGTATAATATATAAGTCACAAAATTTGAATAAAAATGCATTAAAATTGCAGTCGATACTCAAATGCATTTGATAAATTGTGTCATGTCTTGCATATATTGTTCTACTCAGTTTACTTGTAAAGTATGTCAATCTGCAATTACATAGTGTACGTATGTGATTTAATAATTTATGTTATTGTAAAATTTATTATACACATATTATATTATATCTGTTTATGTATTTTAAGCAAATATAACCTGTGTGTCAATATTGTCTTTTTTTCTACATTCCAGTCTGTCATGGTGTTCTTTCAGTCATTGTCATGTCTCATAATAATTGTGGTTTTGGTTTGCTTTATTTTATTTATCTTTATTGATTATTAGTAACACTAAAGCTTTTGCATTTCACGCAATCATAAAATATTTTAAAAATTATTCATTCTCATGCAATAGCAAATAAGGAAATTAATACTATGCAAATAAATAGCTTTTATGTTTACATATTATTTTTCAATGAAATATAAACAATTACTGTCAGTTACAGTGGCAAGTCCTGATAAGTCATACCCTATTTAGCTATTGTCATATTATAATGTAAGAACCAAGGAGTAACTAATATCAGTCATTATATCTGAACATTGTTGACAACATTCATGAAGTACAGTCAGTCATATACATTTTAAGTTCATATACAAATGTTAACCAGGTCATTACTAGTTACTAGTTCTGTAAAATCTTATGTCAAAATTAAAAATAAAATATTTTACATGAGTTGCAACACTATGTATAACATAAAATTTTTAAAGTGGCAAGTGGCAACAACACTTTTTTTTATATTGCAGGTAACTATAATTTAATAAACCAATTAACTTTCGCCTGGTTGTTTCTTTTTGTGTACATGATAAAAAAACGATGTAGTTAGTAATACCATTTATTGTAGGTAACGCGGCGCCACCTGTGTATATTTTAGTCATATTTATATGTCGTTACGTTACATATTAGTTCTGTTGTTTATAAATCAGTTCCAGATAAAACAATTATTAAAGCACTTGATGAGGAAGCGATTGTCTATCCTCTATTTTATCGCTCAAGAAACGAACAGTACTAGATATAGATCCCATGTCAGTAAAAGTAAGAGATACTAAATTAATAGTTGATATCTGGCTATTCACACAGCCGGCGAGGACTCTCTCCGCTAGTTTGTCACACCGACAAGAGCTATCAAAGATAAAACTCGTTCAGCTTGTTTGGCGGTTAGAACTCACGCAGAGAGACCAACCAGCACTATACAGTTCGGATCTGAGTGCACTCGCTTATAGCCCAGGGACAAAATTATTGGAACTACACAAAATCGCTTCTCGCTGCTCGCCAACACTTATTTCTTTTTTGGTTTCTAGTCCTACTCTCTTCTCGTTCACCGTTGGCGGAGGGACAGTGCCTAAAAAGAATAACATCGGTTGTCGGCTCGTCAGTCGTTTCTGTATTGAAATGTGGTTTATTTCGGCGGTTTTATGTATTTGTATTTTATGTTTTACGATTAATTTTCCTATATATATTTTTTATTCTCTTCCTACGTTGTTTATATTTTTGTGTAATGTGCTTAGTTCTGGGATAAAATTTTTTTTTCTGTCTTTCGTTGCTGAGTCAATAATGGGTGTTAGAATTTCGACACTATTATGTCCCATTAAAATATGCTATGCTGTTTATTATAGAACGTAATTAAGAAGTAAGAAAAAAGTAAGAACCCTCATTAAAAATATTACAAATATATGGTTAAAGAGGTCTAAATAGGTCTACTAGGTCTTCAGTCAGTCAGTCATGTCAACGCCAGTCATCAGTTGTCAGAATTGTCAAGTAAGTTTACTGGTGCTAGTCATTTTATGGCTACGCGGACCATCTCTGTTTCATTGTCAGTCTCAGGTCATTATATTTAGTTGTGTATGTCTGTCTATCTTTTATATCAGGCTTGCATTAATTGTTAATTCTAAGGCGTCAGTGTTAACGTCAAGTTGGTCTAATAGTCATGTCTTGTCACAGTCGCAAACACAAGTAACAGTCATTAGTAACGATTGAACCGTTTTTAATTTATACACTGATTTTTTGAAAATATTGTACATCAACGAGACGTCTTAATCATTTGTTATGACATCTTAAGGCAATTTTAAATGAAAGACATCTCGTTAATTTAAAGCAAAGGCTATTGTTAACAATTTCCTATCTACAGTCTTCCCGGTCGACGTCTTAAAGGGCGCGTTAGATCCATAGGCCTCGGTATTTCCCTTAGTGCGTGGGGATCGGCTTTGAGAGAGGGCATACGACGCGATAAGCCTTCATGAAGATTCTCATTTTCTTCGTATACTGCCCACTGCGATGGACTGCAAAGAAAAATAAAATTAAGGAGATGATCTAAATGATTAGTTCTATTTTTTGTAATGGATACATTCAATGTTTTCAGGTCTATGCAAATATAGCCCTTTGTTCGAAACAATTTGAAGTTTATGACGCGGGTTCTTCTTTATAGACTCAGGTACCCTCATAATCGTAGCGATTACGGCCGAATAAAGCCAAAGGAATCACATTTGCCTTTGTGTAATTTTCACCACTTGATATGGGCTGTAATTTTCTCTATTATATATTTATTTATTTACGACAACTAGAAATCAGTACACTACATAAAATTTGTAGAGAAAGAAAAAAAATTAAAAATAACCCGTGCTTAAATGTATTTGTTGTGTAGTGGTGGCTGGAGAGAATCCACTACCTCATATCAATCTGTGGGTGTCGTAAGAGATGACAGAGGGAAATAAGAAAGACGACAGGCAGCGGCATCATCCAGAAAGCAACTCAAAATATTTAAAAAAATCAGTTTCCAACCCTACTTTTGATTGATTGTAATGAATGTAAACAATACTTAAGTATATTTTAACAATGGTAACACAAGAAAGGAGAACAGAATTCAGTACCTTTACAAAGAGTAGTATACTGAAAAGTCATAAAAAAAAGAAATAAGAAAATTTGTAGTAGTGTGGGCTAGTTTTTGGCTATTCATTGAGGTAAACAAACCACAGATATAATATAATTATGAAAGACATTAACATAATATAATTTTGTCTGTGTAACAAAAAAAAATATTATGAGATCAAAGTAGTTCAACAAAACTAGGATGAGTGAATTGTGATAACCTATTTTTTCATTATAGTTTGAATTTTGGTTTACTTATTTGTACAGTTGAGCTATCACATTATCTCTGCTAATTGGATTCTGGGGATGAATCCGGTGATAAAAAAGCGTCGTACAGGGAAATAAAAATTATCTGAAGCACGAAATTATTATTAATTAGTTTTTAAAGGATTGGTAAATTTCTTGGACTATTACCTAATTCGTCGCTAACGCCGCAAAGGGGCAAATCTTAATATTTCAAAAATTACAGGAGAGCAAGGAAACATATATTATTCCCCGATTACTAGCTTTTTTCATCAGAAAATTAATCTTATTTGTAGTTTTCCATTAAGTCTAATTTATAGAATAATTGATAGAATAAACGACACGAAACAAATTGTTAAAGTATAGCACTTCACACAATATTGCACTTGAACTGTTTTAAAATACAATCTGTATATTTTGTAGTTTTAAATGAGAAATTTTAAAGAACTAACAATCACAATATGATTCATTTGAAAGTACTCTTAAGTATCTTACCTATTTTCACTGGGAATAATCTGGAAGTTGACTGACGGTGTTTGAGCTGGACTTTTCGGCTTTTGAGCCTTTAACTTATGTCTCTCCGTGTTATGTCTTTTTGTTTCTTCTATTGATGGCATTTTATTTACGGCGGATCTTTCTTCGATTCCGAAGTTAGAAATACTGGGCTTATTATAATTATGTTCGATCAAGCTCAGTTCAGCCGCAGTGTTTGTTTTTGTATCAGACAAGTCCTCGTCAGAATATTTATGCAAAACATTTCTAACGTAATAATACTTGTTTTTATTGCTCATGTTAATTTGTTCTTCGTCGCTACGTTTTGTCGGTCTGTGTAAACTGTACGGTCGTGTCGCTGTTTCGTAAAGAAAGAATGTAGAAATTTTATCAGTGCTGGTCACGTCATCTTTAAGTTCTGTCTCAGATTTTTTAGTTTCAAAGGTCGTAAAGTCTTTGCTTAAACTGTTATGTTTATTTTCTGTTATGTCAACGTTGGCTTTGTCAAAATTAGTGTGTCTGCCTGTACCGTCACCTCTATATGTACCGACGTAGCTAAAAGTCGTTAGTTTATTAAAGTTTTCAGTCGTGAGATCAGTTTTGTCATTATTTGCATCTGTGTTGTCTTTAGTTGTATTTGAGTCGTAGTCATTTGATCTAGCGGATGAGTTTACGATATTTGTCAATTTCGTGTCGGGTCTTTCACGTCTGTACGAGTCGCTGTCATTGTCAGAGTCGTATCTATTATAGTAAGGTTTGTTTGGTCGTCTGTTGTCATAGTGATATGGTCTGTTCGGTCGTCTGTCGTACGTATCGCCGTAATTCTGATAAGTCACTTTAACAACGTCCCTGTCGTGGTGAGTCTTTCTAGTGCTATGTCTCCAAGATTGTGTCGGTCGTGGTACGTAGTTGATTAAGTATGTATATTTGTCAACGTTTTCGGTTACTGTAATAACTGGTCTGTTATAGGGTCGTTGGTGCTGTAAATTGTTCACGACTAATGATTGTACACTTTGCACGTTGTCGTCATAGTCGTTGTAATTGTTGTAATGATTAGTCGGCTTACGGTTTCTAGTTATGATGCTTTCAAAGTCACTGTAGCGTCTGCTTTTGTTTTTAAAGTCAAGTTTGTCGTCGATTGCTTGTAAATTTGTTATCGGTTTTATTGTTGAGTTAATTGTCGTGTTGTCGTCAGTTGCATTAAAGTCAGTGTCTGTTAGGTTTACGTCTGTATTATTAAGTTTGTGATTAATATTGTCAGGTTTGGTCGAATTGTTCAGTACAGTCGATCCGTTTCGTGGAGCTGTATTAATCGCAGCAGTGAACTTTTGTCTTTTTTTAGTAGTCAGCGGTTTTACTGTCGTAGTCGGTCGTTTAGTTATAGGTTTTTGTGTAAAAGACATGTCATTGTCAGATTTTTTGATGTCGTTGTTTGAGTCGGAGTTAATTTCGGTCCATGGAGATAAGTCAAAGTTGTTAAGCAGTCCGTTGTGACAGGAGATTCTTTCGTTGTCAGGGTTGTCGGGTGATAGGAAAACGAAAGGCTGGACACTGTCTATACTGTCAAGGGTACGGCAGAGTACTTGAGCTAACGATATACGGCGTATTTGCTGTAGTTGTGCCGGAGTGAATGATGATTCAAAACCTCCATTCTCATACCTGGAAAACAGGTAGATCATTTATTTTACATATATTGATGCTTTTCGCTTTAATAAGATCTACGTTACATAGAAATGATCTTAGTAATTTTTACTGCGTTTCGCCCCTTCTGTACATACATATTTTGCAATTTAGGTCGCGTCGAAGATATCCAATCTCCTGTAGCAAATTTTTCTGCCAAACGCTGTAATCACTGCAAATTCTCTCAAAGACGCTTTTGTAAACTTTTTCTGATAGTATCGAGTTATTGTTCTGACAGTATCGACTATGACTCGATACTGTCATTAAAACATTGTATAAAATTATGAGTTTTACATTAATTCATAGCATAAATGGAATGAATTAATATGCTTTTTTTATTGAATAAGAGTGACAAACGAGCACATAGTCCACTTATTTGATGGTAAGTGGAAGCTATGGCCCATAGATCTATCCTCGAAGAATTAAATGCCGACGCGTTTCCACCCCTGAGGACTAAGATGTTATTACCTTGTTTCCAGTAGACCCTTTTCTCTGGTTCTATACATTCACCATACGAAACATCAGCATTATTCTATTTCACGCTGGTATTCTGTGACAGCGTGATCCTACTTCGATCGAACTGACCATTCGAGCTGCAGCTATGTTTAGCTAGCATAGCTGCAGCGTGGCTCTACCACTTAAAAAAACTTCTTATAGAACGATACCGATACGTAAGTAGTGACAGATGTGAAATCAGTTCCTATATCTCAGAGTAAATTCCAAGAGTTTCTAATTGTATATCAATAATGCACTTCTCACCAGAATCGATCGCCTTTACGCAGATTTGAGAACTGTTGCGCAATGATACAGGCAAACGTTGGACCCACCAAACCTCCTATAACCGGTCTTTCGCCCATACCTCCAGTGAAAAGATCTATGTCGTCTATGTGCCTGGAACAAAATGTAATAATTAAAATAGAATGCGTTTTCATATACTTTATGTTTTTATGTACTCTATTTGTTTATTGAGATCCGTTATAATTTAGAGGATAAGCTTTAGCTCTTAGTTGCCATGACAAAAATAGGGGGGTATTATATGTTTGTAGTGTGTATCTGTGTGTCTGCCTTTGGTATCATAGCTCCTGAACGTATGAACCAATTTTGATAAAAAAAATTGTTTGAAAAGTGCCTTATCGAGCTCTTTTTGTTTAGGGGGTTTTGAATTTTTTTTTAATTTTAGTTATTTTCCCAGTAAATAAACTGATCACGTTTGATCCCCAAATTGGTAATTGCAATTTTTCGCTCATTGGCTCCTACCACGTATTTGGTCTAAGTTTCAAAACACACAAAAAGCCAGCATAAGTACAGGCTGAGACTGATCCCAGCTTAAGCCTTAGAGCTAAAGAATCTGTAGTCTTCTTTGTTTAAAGTTGACTGCAGCTGTACCTGCATTCCCATATCCTCTTTAAGTGGACGTAGTATATCAGTCTAAGGTCAAAATAAATTCACCTGTACAATTTCTTCAGTTTCCTCACAAGCCTCATCGGCATCACTCTGACCAAGTCATCGAAGTCCTGTATAGCCGACAGACCGCATGGTTCCCTCCAGGTGGTGTACGGAGGCACACCGTGGTCCCTTCCCCTTTGTATGTTTATGGCGGCCAAGTCCATCCCGAAGTCGAAGTGAGGAGTTTGGAACAGATGGTTGGTGAGTTCCTCTGTGATGAACTCGTCGCGTTTCTGTATGGGCTGGTTGATCATGCCGATTAGCAGCCGGTCCACAGCGCCCATGCTCCAGATGTTTGATGGGTTTGTTATCTCATCGTGTAGGGAAACGTCTAGAAAACACAGAAATTACAAAGCTATTGTAATTAAAACACGTGTGGGTTAAGTACTTTTGGAAAATGGTTCATAGGGTCATAGGGTCACATTAAATTTTATGCGTCTCCGGTAATAGACTTCTACGTCTCGCTTAAACAACTCTGTATTACATATATACATGTATTACATTATATTGTTTAAGCGACAGTGATACAGATGAAAAGAAATAAAACCTCTTTATTTTTCTGCATAATAAATTATAATTTCTTTAATCAAACGTCAACATACTAGATGGAGTGACGACCTGGTAAAATATGCAGGAAGTCAATGGATGCAGATGGCTCAGGAATTATTTGTGCTTTGTGGCATTCCTTGGGGAAGGCCTATGTTCAGTACTGGAATTGTGAAGGGCTGCAATGATGATGATAATGAACGTCAACATGTTTTGTGATCTAATATCGTTTTAAAATGAGGTTCCTCTGTTTCTGTGATGTCACATCTTTAAAGCTGTTCCCCCTTTTCGGTCCGGGTATTGGAAACCTGGTAAAGACAAGATTGTATATCGTGACCTTTCAAAGGCCAAGAGGACTTTCTGTCATTCTTCTTAAAACGGTACGAAATGGGGTTGATGAATTGCCTTACGGCACCTCCACATGGCTTACAAGATGGCGGTGACAAGTAATAAATAAAAAAAAACTTGTTTACACCAGAATATTGTTGACATGACTTCTTCTCATGTTATAGTTGCGCCATCTAAGAAAGTTTCGTTGTTTTTTTTTAAATATAATAAAAGTGCAATTAAGTGACAGTCAGATCAAGTGGACTCTTTACACTGTTCATAGACAACTAACTTCTAAATAAAAAGAACTCATTGAATAACTAATTTTATTGAGTGTTGGACATTTGATAAGCTGTATTGAATAAATGAATATGTATACTCACTGTTACTCATAGGCCTATGAAACCGGTCGAATCGGACCATGGACGGCTGGACCAGGCTGTGGCCGAACCGGAACGCGGCTGAACCGAACGAGCTCGCCGGGTTGGGGTTGATTTTCGGGTTGTAATCTTTGTAGTATCCTTTTTCCAATAGATCCAGTTCGAACAGGCGCATCACCTCCGACCCTAGTATTAGCAGGTTTATTTTAGACTATAACGAAACAAAGTGGATGTAAGATGAAATATCCACACTTTTTACTCAAATGCTATTTTGTACTACTTACTTGTATTGTAACAGTACGGGCAAGCTAGAAAATAGACTTCTTTCGTAATTTGGAATTCGAAATTCGAAAATTTCGAACTCCAAAAAAGGAGGAGGTATGTATCCGTATGTTACGCGATATCTACGCCAATTGTGAAGCGATGTTATGTTTTTTTTTTTTTTAAATAGGCATATTATATAGGTATAGGGAAATAGTAAGTAGTAGGTGTATATTAACATAACATATACGAGTTGTTACCCACGATCTTCTTAAATATGTTATAACCTAAGCTAATTGTATTATTATTTATTCTGTGCCTAAGGATCGTTGTATCTTAGTCTTCACGGGTTACAAAGCATTTCTGCATCTTGATTCGTAATCGAGGATAGATGTAGATATCTATGGGCCACAACATCCCCTTACCAACAAGTGGCCTGTGTACTCGTTTGTCACCCTTATTCTATTTAAAAAATCATATTTGTTTATCTTTTGGTAATTTTTTTACATCTACCTCTATTTATTTGTATAGTACTTTAAAATAGATATTTTTTTAACTGACTAGACATTTTTTTTAACTAGGCACTTTCTTTATTTTAAACATGTTAATCCCATTGTACCTTATAACCAAATAACACAAAACAATTTATTAAATTACTTGTATACATACAATATACCAACTAAATCCACCATTATATAATACACCATTTGAGTCAGCACTTGACAATGGCTCAGAGAGAATTCTTGGATATTTTGACACATTTTAATGGAAGTTTTAGCGACCAATAGTTTCCTCTCGTGAAAAGACTCGTAGACCTGTAAGTAGATGTAGAGTCCGCTCTACATACATAATTGTGTATATAAGATAAATAAAATTAACTATATAATCACCTAAAACAATTGGTAAGAACTCTCTGTAGGTGATATGCTGAACCATGGCGCCGACGATCTTCCGCGTCTCCTGATAGATTTTTTCGTCGCTCCAATGCGGGTTCAGGTGCGCCAGTTCTTGCGCCATTCTATGACGTAGCGTTAAGTTTACAATTTTTTTTTAAATGTACTAGTTAGTGTGTTCATTTGAGGAGGTGCCGATTACGGCACCTCACATCAGGAGCGACTAGCTATGGATTACCATAGTTAGTCGCTTCTGATATAATATTTCTTACTAGCTGTCCCCCGCGACTTCGCCCGCGTGTGATTTAAGATTTTAATTTTTTTGCGCGGAACCCTAATTATTTTTCTAACAAAATTAGCATAACTTACTCCTTATTACATCAGCTATCTACCAGTGAAAGTCCCGTCAAAATCAGTCCAGCCGTTTCGGAGATTAGCCGGAACAAACAGGCAGACAGACAACTATATTGTATACTAGCTGTTCCCCGCGACTTCGCCCGCGTGTAATTTTGGGTTTTAATTATGTTGCGCGGAACCCTAATTCTTTTTCTAAAATATATGTAGCCTAAGTTACTCCTTATAACATCAGCTATCTACCAGTGAGTTCCGTCGAAATCGGTCCAGCCGTTTCGGAGTTTAGCCGATACAAACAGACAGACAAAAATTTTAAAAATTGTGTTTTTGTAATAAGTACCGTATATACTTTGATATGCATATAGTAAAAAGCTGTTATTTTGACATTACATACAGACACTTCAATTTTATTTATTTGTATAGATATTTTCATATGTTATTTTATAAAATATGTAAATATATTTTTTATTATTCGGTATAATAATTATATAGACTTTAATGTAAATATAAAACTATAACGAGTGTATGAACACTTGTATAGGTACTATTATCACATGAGTAATGTACAGTTTCTTTACTCATGTGCTATTATCCTTCTTAAATGACTAGTCTTCGTTATGACTGTCCGCCGTGACCGAAATTTGGTCTGGAGGACGTTATTACGCTTCAGCGTAGCTACCACGTGCGAAATGATCTACCACGTGATGGCGATGAAAGCGTGAGCTGGTAACCTGTTGTGGTGTCGCAGCCACACGATGTGCGCGGCGACAAGGCCGGGGTGCTCGTTGACGCGGCCGTCGCCGGACTTGAAGCAGTCGGCGGACAGCGCGCCGCCGCGGCACAGCTCGTCGCGCCGCCCCGCCGGCAGCACGGGCCTGCGCTGCACCACGCGCCCGTACTGCAACATGCCTGTCACACACACCCACATCACGTCAGCCACTCTACACAATAATCTCCAACAGTACGAGAGGACTTGTTACAATCCCGCTGGGTTTCTTGCAGGTTCTTCCTAGGACAGAGTTATTTTCCGAACCAGTGGTAAATTAAACATAAGTGACTTTCAATAAGTATTGTTTGTTATCTATACTGAATAAAAAAATATCTATTTTATTTCAAATCTACGCACCCATACAGCGACATGCCTGCCCCACACACCTGCGTCAAGCTAGTCAGTCTATAATTATAATCAATTACAATATCGGTGAACGTGTTCCAATCACACGCGCTCGTATTGTAACATGCTGTCCTACTGAGCTGACCGAAAAGACCAAGTATTGAGATAGTTAATCCACCTATAAGCGTGACGATTAAAGTAAATCCTCGCTACAACGAGAAAGGCTTAAGTCCAGCAGTAGACTTTACACATATAAGTGCATATTGTGTATGATTTGAAAATTGATAGTCCCGTGGCGAGACAGTTGCAAACTTACCATTCCTAAATAGCCTAAGTTTGTCGGACTGCCTCGCTGAGCTGCCATAGAGTGGTGACGCGTCGATGTACGCGGACACCTGGTTGATTTGTTCGCGCCATCCCAGCGCGCAGTCGTCCCGCGGTGCTGGAGACGAGCGCACGAAGTCCAAGCATCGGACTCCTCGCGGCCCGTAGAACGGATCCGACGCCGGGACCGCGATAGGCAGGCACTCCGGATGCTACGGTTGATTGGAAGGCATTGATGGGAGTTCTCTACGCGAGTATTTATTATCTAGATTCTTTATCTAACGTAAATGGCTTTAGTATTACCACTACACCTGTTTACCACAGTAGGGCTGAGTTCCTTTGTTCAATCTGAACCTTTACTTATTATAGTTTCTACAATTCATGAAATCTAGCGGGCTTTACTTGTGGTAAATGCTTATCTGTATACGTGTTAAAGTGTGCGTGAGACCAAAAGCGGGTATGGTTGGCTTAGACCATTTTAATCTAAGATGGTTAGCGACGGCACGCTAGCAACTGATTGTTAGGTCAGACACGCATACTATCGCAATGTGCATGTACATGTTCAACTACAAGTAAAGTCCGCTCGACTTCCTGAATTGCAAGGACTATAACGAAGTAAGAAAGCTTATAAGTGCTTTTATAGAAACTAACAAATAGGGTTCTTTTTTTTATAAAACTGGCTTTACGGCTCTGGGTTCTAGCTCTTCTGAGTTTCAAATAGAGTTTTATAGTCATATGCCAAAGAGCGAAGGAAGTATTGGCGGCGCGAAATAATCTATCATCCTATTTCGTCCCGTGCGTGTCGTAAAAGACGATGGGATGGGCAATGCTAAGAAGATTTTATAACTTCCGATAGATAGCGGTATCTCTTTACCATTTACATAACACCTAAGTAAAGACGTAGTACCCTACTATCATATATTAGCCTGCCAAGTGTGAAGACGTGGCAGAGCTGCAGCATATTTTGGTTGTAGCACGAATGTGTCGGCTCGACCGGGGAAGGACCATGCTCTCACAGAATAGCAGCGTAAAATAGCAGCTTAATTTTGCTGTGCTTCGTGTGGTGAGTGTAGAGAACCGGAAACCATTTTTACTGGATACGAGTGATACTTAGTCTTTAGGGGTGCAATGCATATGCATTTTGATTCTGTATCGAGGATAAATGTAGATGTCTGTGGGCCACAGTATCCACATACTATTAGGTGGACTGTGTGCTCGTTTGTCACCCTAACATATTTATCTCTACCCTTGGCAAATATGTATGGCTGTAAATTATTATCTCTATTTTCAGAACTGCCAATTAAACAGTTGTCGTTATATTTTAATCATATGTATTCAGTAAGAGTTATTTTTCAAAATTTTTGAGATTTTACTGGCATTTTTTAAAAAGTTAGTTTGGGCTAACCTTTCTTTCTCAACATGCCACCACCTAAAATCTGGCTCCCTGGGTCATGGCTCTCCGCCACTCCCATGCTGCGCCACTAGCCCTACGACCTAGTAGAATCTTCATCATTTCATCATTACCCTTCACAAATGTGTTCTACTGACTAGAATCATCACACTTGTGAACTGAGCATAGTCCTCCCTCAAGGAGGTGACGGTTAATCTGGTTCTACTGTGGATATTCTCATTTTTAAGTCTATAACGCGGAGACACTTCGAGCATAGCCCTCTCCATAACTCGCTGAGGGAGCTTGACCTTCCTCGTACGGCCAGCAGTGAAGGACCATAATCAGATCCATTTCCACCACTGGCATTGGCTAGTAGAACACTAGTATTAAATACTTGTAATCTCACCATAAGCTCTTTCGGCATAAAGTCCCTCCCACCATCCTTACAGCATCTTGGCACTGAACCATTAAAACCTCGGGACTGAGAAGACGATGTCACATCATGATCCAGGAACTGGCCCCACTGCATCAACAGATGCGTGATGATAGGATGCTCGACATTCTGGTCTTCGTGTACGAGGGAGCTTATCTCACGGGCGGAGGGTAGTTTGCTCCCGAAGATCGAACGCCGAGGTGCTTGTATGCCGTCGGAATAAGAAGGCTGAAGGAAACGCTGGACGGGTGTCAAGGTGGAGCCCCATTGTGGACGGCTTAAGTTGTTGCAAGTACCATCATGTGTGCGGTATCTGAAAAAACAAGGATTTTTATTCAAAAATACAATTACTTCTCGTATAATCTGGATATAACTGATCAGTATTGAATAAAACTACATATTTTTTACGGATTTTATCGCGTTTAATTTCACTCATATTTAACTAGTTGTGACCGCGACTTCGTTCGCGAGGAATAAGTATTTTTAATAATAATTCATGATGTATTATTTGTACTTTTAACTGTCACGAAGATCTAGAAAGAAACTAATCAGGATAAAAACATTCAGTTAGTCAATCAGACAAACTTACGAACGAACAAACAGACGGTCCTACAAACGAATTAATTGACAAACCCACAATAGAACCAAGAAACGAATTGAGCAAACTATACGCTTGTGTTTCATATTGTAAATAAACAACAAAATTACCGCAATAGCGTAATCCATAATTTGCTACCGAATTTCTCTAGCCAACATTTGGTTCCCATACAACAAATAAGATATTGCCCAAATAAGACAGCTCCATCACCAATTATTGGTACTATGGTATTGTCATTAATATTAAAAATATTTGAAATATAAACTACAATCCAATTCAAAAAATCTAATAGAAAAAATATTAACTGATTAGTATCCTAAGGTTATTGGAATTTATTTTTAAGAGGTGACAATGGGAAGTTTACCGTGTGATGGTCTCAAGAGGCGAATAAAGGAAATGCCAGAAAGATTTTTTTTACAGAATTAGTGTGACAAACGAGCACTCATTCCACCTGATGGTAAGAGGTTGCCCATAGACATCTACATCTATCCTCGTTTGTGAATCAAAACGCAGATGAGATGTCACCCGTGACGACTAAGACAGAATGCCTCTTTTCCAGTAAAAAGGTTCTCCGGTGAGTGTAGAGACACGCACTATACGAAACACAGCAGTGTTAAGCTGCTATTTTACGCTGGTATTCTGTGAGAGCGTGGTCCTTCCCCGGTCGAGCCGACCCATTCGTGCTATAACTATACTACTAATATAGCTGCAGCATGACTCTACCACGTATAAAGATATTTTGCCTTCTCACAAATGCCGGTATACCATCAGGTTTACGCCAGATAAGTATCTATAACGGCGAAGAGTCAAAAAGTCAAAGGTACGAGATTTCTGATGCTGTCGATCCGCCTAAAATTAAGGCAAAGTCTCACTACAACGTTAGAGGCCGATGTCCAGCAGTGGACTTCTATGAGCTGACGAAGAAGAAGACTATGGAAAATTGATTGAAAGATCTCATGGCTTGCGTTAGATGTGGGTATAACTTTCATCCTCTTTCACGGTAGACGTGAAATACCCAGACCGGCGAGGGGAGCAGCATCAATGTTGGAGACGACTGGTAGGTACTGCGATTACCAATTAATAGATTGATAGAGAACGCTAACACCAAAATACAAAAAGAGAGAAAAAAATTTACAAAATATTAAAAGGTAGTACAATTGGCGGTCTTATCGCTTAAAGCGACTTCTTCTAGACAACCTTCTGCCAAACGTGGCAATGAGGGCTGATAATTTTCTGCTCACCAGATGTCGCTAGTTGACACTGAGGTAAAGTTTTTTGCACATATCTCATTTAATTGAGTAGTTAGTTTTTAATAAAAGTTTATCAGTTTCTAGAGTATTATATTAAATACACAAAACAATGCCTCAGTGGTTTTCCCTATAATTTTTTGCACATTTTTAATTTTTCTTAATCTTTCTACTTTTATGAATATCGGTGGGGGTTTTATTTATTTTTAATATTATTAATATAAAATAGAGATAATAGTACAGAAAGAAACCTTAACCTTTACATTTTCCGAACAAATTAATTTCCCCGCTATGTAATCTGTCTAATATTATACCTCACTTTTAAGTGGCAAATTTCCCCCACAACGGGAAAAGTTAACGTCCGGAAGTTGACTATTACGTACTGATGATGACGAAGAAGTTGTGACGAAATGGGGTGATGGATTCTTCTTACGCTGCCATGCATGGTAATAGACAAATTGTTTTTTCGCAGATGTCTCTGGCTGGGTCTAGATCAGGCATACGTCTAATCAAAACAGCAACTAAAATTTATAACAGCTAAGAATAAATTACCGTTTGGAAGCTGGCGGACATTTTGGCGCGTTTCGATGCGGACACTGCTGCAGTAATGGTGATTGGCGCAGAGCGCTTGCGTTCGGAAAGTTTGGTTCCTCTGTTCTACCTTCCGGGCTGTTTCCATCGTTGCCACTGTAAAAAAATATTTATTAATTTAAAACACAGACAGTTGTCAAGAGAGAATAATTTCAATTCATTTTTTATCTCGTTACGTAGTTGTAGTAGTAGTAGTTAATAATTTATTATTTTTATTTGTTATTACTCACTACTGGCCCTACTGAAAGTCAGCGTCACTAATTGTTGTCTAAATTCAGTTCGTGACTGGAAACCATTTTGGTGCATGTTATTTTAAATCTTTAATCGGTTGTGAAAGTACAGTTATGTTAAATTGTTTGTTTTCAAATGTTATATTTTATGAACTAAATAAACCTATTTCTTTGTTACTTTCTAAATATTGTAAATTATGACCATGTCGTTAAGTGGTCATAGTACCTGGTTAGTCGCGAGTCGTAAATTCAGAACCCACCAATTAATTGTTGTTAAATTCTATGCCACTAGTGAAAAGAGATTTGACAATTTTTGTGACACTTAATACATTATATCGTTAGTATAATTTTTATGTAACACCATTGTTAATAACTTTACCGACTGATAAAAACAGATTTAATATATTGAACGAAGAGATTCGCAATATGGCAGGTTTGAAAGATGACCTTATCACAAAAATTGATAAGGGCATGCTTCGATGGTTTGGGCACGTTGAGCGAATGAGTGAAGACCGAATGGTGAAGAAAATATATAGCGCGAAAGTAAATATTAAAAGGTGTCGAGGTAGACCGAGACTAACTTTCGAAGACCATGTGAGCAAATTGCTCGAAGAGGGGAGGGTCAAGAGTACTCGGATACCTAGACGTGCATGTATGAAGAAGATAATGAATCTGAAAGAAGCGAAAGAGGTATGTAAGGATCGTGACACTTGGCGATCTGTTCTCTCTGGCTACCCCGTCAGGGATTGTGCGTAAAGATAAAAAAAAATATATATATTGAAGGATAATACGAATGTAAGTACACTAGTGTTTTGTTTTTTAAACTTAGCTTAACTTCACTATTTGAATAGATATCATGAAGTAACACGCTGCAGTGTGACTACCATGTACAACGTTTTTAATGTAGTTTCAATACAATTCAACTATTTTCAATAAAAATCCGTATTACTATAATTTATTCTTTATATATGTAGAGTATGTGAGTAGGTACCCTATTACAAATTCAACTCGGTGGCGCCGTGGTTAAGCGTTTGTCTGCGGCGATAAGGGGCGTGGGTTCCATTCCCGAACAATTTAAATATTTGTATGCCCTACTAATATTTGTTCCGGGTTTGTGTGTTTGTTCATGAACAATTTAAGTAATTCTTAGTGTGTAATATGTATTAGTACGTGTACCCAATACCCTATACCGGGCCGTGGCGCGTGGGTGTCGTAAAAGAAACAAACGAAGAAATGGGTACATAGCAGCGTCTTCCTAATAACTAAAAAAGAAACTGCGGTTGTAACTTAAGAAAAATCCCCCGATGAGATAAGGGAGGGGAGGCCTATGTTCAATGATGGCTGTAATTGTGAAGAGGAAGGTGTATATAAATAAATAAAAAACAATTTGAGCATAATTCACATATTATGCTACAGATGCGGTGTCGTCCCCGAGAACTAAGAAGTCTCACAGCCTGTTATTACACTGACTTTCTTTACTCTTCAGCGTAGAACACACCAGTGCAGGTACTGCTAATGAGGGCTAATAATTTTTTGCTCACCAGATGTCGCTAGTTGACACTGAGGTAATTTTTTTGTTACACAATGTAATTTGATTGAGAAGTTCGTTTTCAATAAAGTTTATCACTTTCTAGAGTATTATATTAATACACTAAACAATGCCTCAGTGGTTTGCTCTTTAATTTTTTGCACATTTTTAACTTTTTTTAATTTTTCTACTTTTATGAATATCTGTGGTTTGGTTTATTTATTTTTAATGTTATTAATATAAAATATAGCTAAAAGTACAGAAAGAAAAGCAATATAGGTATTTTACTAAAACTAAACTTTACTTTACTAAATTAACTTCCCTACTATGAAATCTGTCAAAGATTATACCTCACTTTCTAGTGGCGCCGCCCTGGTGGCAGAAAAAGTCGTAGATAGTCATTGGCGGCAGAAATAGGTAAGAGCATGGTGTCAACCCAGACGGACAATTAGATAGAAAAGACCTCCTACAACCACAGAATAAATAATAGTACTACGTACTACAACCCAGTCTATAGTGTTTAACGCCGGCCATTTAAACGTGGCAGAGCCCCGCTGCAGCTATAGGTTATATCACGAATGGGTCGGCTCGTACGAAGGACCGCGCTCTCCGAATACGTTCGTGACATAGGAGCTTAATGCCGTTGTGTTTCGTATGGTGACTGTAGAGTACCGGAAACCCCTTTTACTGGAAACTACGCAATCCATCTTAATCCTCAGAGGTGACAACGTACCTAACTGGATTTTGATTTTTAATCGAGAATAGAAGTGGATATCTATAGGCCACTGCATCTACTTAACATAATAGGGACTGTGTTCTCTTTTGTCAGCCTTTTACTATATATGTAAAACAAAACTTTGCATATTCGCATTAATTATGACGGCTGTCAAAGATGTTAATATAAAAACAAATATGTATCGGGGTATTATTATTTAAACGACTTGGAATGCCATAAATAGTCAGAAATTATAGCCAGATGTATAACACCGCCCATGACCTGCGGTGAAAGTGAAATTTCACTTTCGCTGGGACCGGCTCGCTCTCTCCGCGAATCGATAAGTGTATATTTACATTTATATGCGGGAAGTAGCCGGAGATATTATTTACTTGATTTTCATGCGAGAAAGGGTAAAAAAGGCCCCTGCTGACCATAGACCTCTCCCAAGAAATGTCACGGTTACCAGGTTGTTATTCCATCAAGGGGGGGGGGGGGGGGGACAACCTACACCTCGCTTACCGGTACGAGGCTGCTGCTTGAAAAACTTTTTTCCCCATTGGTTGTTGGTTCTTACAGCTACAGAGCCAGTTCTTTGCTATTTTAGCTTATTGATTCGATGGAGATGTCGGTTACTCTGGCTCTACTGCGGACATTCTCATTACGAAGTTCACGCAGAGAAATTTCGACCGTAGCACTCTCCATAAGTTCACTGAGCGATTTAGAGCTGCCTCATATGGCCAGCAAAAAAAGGTTATTTTATCCATACTCTAACATAATACATTTTAACGTTAGTGAGGATTAAATAAAACTCCTTTTACGGATCACTCCCACTTTACATCCTTGGCAGGATGATACGTGAGGCTATTGAAATTAAAAAAAAAACATCCTGACTTCAATAGAGGGAGGCTGGATACTACCACCTGCTTGGGATCCCGTAATTAATAAAATTGAAACTAAACCCAAGCATACCACTGCAAGAATTCAAGATACAGTAAGTTCATTCTGCGTAGATCGGACCAAAATTAATAATTAAAAAAGCTGAAGGTACTCCGGGTTAACTCTGACATCGGGACCTCAATCACCTCAGTCCCCCGTGACCATGGGTGCTGTAAAGCACTCGAAACGTCGGGAATGAATAAAAATAAGTTAATTAAACGTGATAGAATCCGTAAAAGTAATTTTATTCAATGTGTAGTTTTCGCGTAGATATAAGAAATCCATTACGTCCTATCAAAAGTCCACTGCTAAACATAGGTTGCCTCATAAAGGAAATAGTTGCCACGTTATGTAAGCGGATTGGCAACCGCAGTTATTTTTATTATTTTGAGTTGTTGTCTGGAAGATGTTGCTGCCCATCCCCTGTTTCAGTTTCTCTCTATTGTCTCTTACTCACGGGATGATATGGCGTAGTAAATATTCTCACACCGCCACTACACAGGAACACCGCAACGTCCGTTATCCATTCGCAATAAAACGAATTTGGATGTTTGCCACACAGATAGACCAAATTCTAGATTAACATCAAGGGAAAACCAGAAACACTTTGGGATTATAAAAATTACATGCATAAATATAAATGCGTTTCTGTTTCTACGAAGGCAGAAACTAGTCGCTAGAAAGTAGTACGCCCTTTTTTGTGGTTCACTAACTAAAAATCTGCCCAGGAAAAACCGTCAGCGACCGGTAAACTCCTAAATATGGTAGGAATTTAGCGGCTGCAGTCAATTAATAATTCCTTGAAGCATTTCCCGTGGTATGTTATAGAAAATGCTGAGATGCAACACCTCTTTGCAAGGATAGTGCATCAAACCGATCTAAAAAATATTGGTTAATAAAACGTCACGACCACTACGATAAGACAAATTATAAAAGGTTCGTAAAGGAGTAATCTTCAACTTTTATTTGTTTTTGGACAGTCACCCATTGTCCTCACGATTCGAAGTATTTACAGCTAGACCTCAGACTAATCAAGAAAGAAAGGCGGAGGGATTACTACGTTTCAAGTGACGCAAAAACCCTCAACTAACGTAACTCAATGTAGAATACGCACTCACGTACATAAGTGCATCTAAAATCATTTGCAACCAACAATATGGTTTTAGAAGTCCTACTGAACTTGTGAACTTTTATGGGCTGATACTTAAATAAAGAAAAAATAAAGATGTGTGCGTGAGTGCGTGTCAAGAAGTTGAGCATAATTTCGGCATCACTTGCGCGATGAAGCAACGCTCGGTGTATATTTCTTTGTTGGTCTGCGGGCTAGACATATTTAATATTGGAATAGAATTGAATAATTTTTATTTAATATAGATTATTACATAATACTTATGGAAAGTTATTTGAGAATGACTAATCAGCAATGTCAAACGTGAAGGGAATTTTTAAATTTTTATTTCTATTTTATACATAAATATTGATTGAAATTAGGGATGCATCCGATGCCGATACGATATTGGTATGGACTATTTATATTTGGTATGAATATTCAAAGATCGATCAGGTTTTCTTTTTGCTTTTTTTCATATTTGTATATGAAGATTGATTTTAATATCGTTAATAAACTTAAGCGGTTAATTAACTCGGGATCAATGATTTAGAAATTATTAAAAATTAAAAATTTTGAACAACCATCTTCAATATATATTATTAAGGATAACTCAAAAAGTATTGGTCGAATCTTGATCAAATTTATATGCGATGACATGAGAAACACCAGCTTTCAGGTAAAAAAGAATCATTGAAATTGGTTCACGTAGAAAAAAGTTATGATATAAAACACACATAAAAAAAACATACAGTCGAATTGAGTACTTTTTTGAAGTCGGTAGAAAAGTAGGTTAATATAGGTTTTCTTTTGATAGATATTACAACAAAATAAAGATAAGATCACACATAAGGAAATATAGACAATATTTGGTGAATTGACATGGATACCAGCGACTGCAACCAACTTAACACAAAGAAGACTAAAGTGAAATGTCCTGAGCATGACTTTTCTATCGTATCGAGTTGTGCTAAGGGCCGAAATACAGAAAGCAATTTAATAAAAAAAATTGGCGATTTCCATTCAATAAAAGAATAAAGTTGGGCAAGTTATATATTTTTCATAAATTTAATACATGCATAATTCCTTTAAAACCAAAATGTATGTTAAGAAAATCTTGAAAGAAATGAATTTAACAAATGACTATATCTTTGTGATGATGATACTATATTATAATATTTATATAATATTGTATTTATTTTACTTTAATGTCTAATGCTTTAAAATGAAGCATGTTGTATTTTATTAAACAAGTTAAAAGAAATAATTACAGACACATGAGGTAGACTTGGTAGAGCCACACTGAACAATATGACTGCAGCCCGAATGGTTCAGCTTAACCTGGGAGGGATCTAACCCTTACAGAACACCGGCGAGAAATAGGCGCATTATACTGCTTTGTTTTCTACGGTGAAATATCAAAACTTATTTTACTGGCTACGGGGCATTCCATCTTAGTTCTCAGCAGTGACAACGAAATACGATGAAAATATTTGTTCTCTGTGTTTTCGTTTGTCACCCTTAGATCTAATCCACCACCCTTACATATTTTTTTTATTCTAATAAAAAAATTATACAAACTTGGTTTTGCCGCCTCCAGAAAAAAACTGTCAGTCAATTTACGATAAATCCAAGTCAGGTCAAGTCACTGTCTGTCTGTCTCACTGTCTTAGTACTGTCACTGTCACAAGTCAGTCAAAATTCAGTCATAGATGTCAAGTCTCTGATAAAGTCAAATTCGAATTTTCAACGTCTGTATCGCGTCTTTGAATTTAGCGCGCGTCGATGAGCGTGGGGCCGCCATAGCGAGCGAGCGAGACTGTCGTGGGGGGAAGATCGAGCAAGTTCATATATTTCCACTTCCACGCCACGATGTTTCGTAACACCTTATGTTGACAAATACCAAGTAGCAAAGAACACAAACCCTCAAGTTTCAATTGAACAAATGTAAACAATAAATTCATTTGCGACGTTTAATTTTCTTGAACGAATCGAAGACAGAGAAGTCTCCATTCACTGATTTTTATTTGTTTTCATTAACAATATTTTACAATCTATCAAAGGTCCACTGCTGAACATAGGTATATAGATAGGCATGATAAAGGGGAAATTTGCCATAATTGAAAAGTTTGGCAGACGAGAGAGCAACTGCAGTTTTTTCTACCGACTTCAAAAAGGAGCCGGTACTCAATTCGACTGTATGTTTTTTTATCTGTGTCTCATAACTTTTTGCTGGGTGAACCGATTTCGATGATTTTTTTTTATTAGAAAGCTGGAAAAATCCCATATAAATTTGATCACGGTTTGACCAATAGTTTTTGAGTTATTCTTAATAATTTATATTGAAGTCGGTTGTACAAAATTTTTAATTTTAAATTATTATTAATACTTTCATATCTGAATGACTCCTTACTATGTTTCCATTATAGTACATTGGCTTATTAGTTTTAGCCATTCCTGTACCATACAAGAATAAATATTTCTCGTATGCTGAGTCAAATGTAATTCGACATAAAGCATTTTCTTATGCCTTTGTTTTACTTATACGTTTGCGACAATAAAAATGTTTTTTTCCCGTTCTATTCTTTTCTATTGAATAATACGTTCTATGACAATAGCTCGTAATTTCGTAAACGTGATCAAAGTTCAAATAATCTAGGCTAAAAGGAAAAAAAGTGTCACGAAAAAAATATATGAGAGAGATATTCATATTGACGAAAAATATATAATTTAATTTCTTTCAAATGTTGAAAATAAAAATTTCTATAAAATACTTTTACCAAGATTTATGTCTTCGTTGTTATTCCTTTCATATTGAAGCTTTCATACGAATATTGTTGTTAATCAAACACAGTAGTAATATTTTTATAATTATAAGAAATAACTTATTGGTTGATCAAACGTAAAAATAAGATTCTTTTTAGCTGATTTAAAAAAAAGATGGCATTTTATTGTGGTATGTTATGCGATATCTTTGTAGACTGTGAACCGATTTTGATTAATCTTTTTTTTTTTAATAAATAGGTTATATTTCAGGGGTGATGCCGTATAAATTCTGAAAAAGGAAATTCTAGCCCTATATATGAATCTAGGAGAGATGCAAAATAGCCGACGAAGTTTTTAACTATCTACCTATTAGTAGATAGTTGAAATTTTCACAGTATGTGTATTTCTGTTGCCGTTATAAAACAAACACGTGGTAGAGCCATGCTGCAGCAATATTAGTGGTATAGTTGTAGCACGAATGGGTCAGCTCGACCGGGAAAGGACCACGCTCTCACAGAAAACCAGCGTAAAATAGCAGCTTAACGCTGCTGTGTTTCGTATGGTGAGTGTAGAGAACCGGACACCCTTTTTACTGGCAAAGAGGCATTCCATCTTAGTCCTCACGGGTGACAACGCATCTGAATCTCGAGTCTTTATTGAGGATAGATGTAGATTCTATGGGTCGCAGTGGCCACTTACCATCAGGTGGACTGTGTGCTCGTTTGTCACCCTATCCTATAAAAAAAACAATAAAAATAAAACTGGCACTTGGCCAGTTTTTTAATTCAGTTTAAATACGTGGTAGAGCCATGCTGCAGGTATATTACTGGTATAGTTGTAGCACGAATGGCTCAGCTCGACCGGGAAAGGACCACGCTCTCACAGAATAGCAGCGTAAAATAGCAGCTTAATGCTGCTGTTTCGTATGGTGAGTGTAGAGAACCGGAGAGCCTTTTTACTCGTAAAGAGGCATTCCATCTTAGTCCTCAAAGCTGACAACGCATCTGCATTTTGATTCGCAAACGAGGATAGATGTAGATGTCTATGGGTCACGGCAACCACTTACCATCAGGCGGACTGTGTGCTCTTTTATCACCCTAATTCTATAAAAAAAAAGTAAACATAACCAAAGATAAAAATCTACATAAATCTATACTAATATTATAAAGCTGCAGTGTTTGTTTGTTTGTTTGTTTAAACGCGCTAATCTCTGGAACTACTGGTCCGATTTGAATGATTCTTTCAGTGTTGGGTAGTCCATTTATCGAGGAAGGCTATAGGCTATGTTTTCTTTTTTCAAAATTAGGGATCCGTAATAAAATTGCTATTTTGTAACACAAGGTGTAAAATCGAAAACCTATTTTTGCGTGCGCTGCAAAAACTATTGACAATAAAACAAAATGATGTACTATGGGTTTGTAGATCCCATTAAGACCTACAAAAAAGTCCGCGAGAACATGTATCTAGCTATCATGGTTTAATCACAATAACCGATTTTGTGTTCAAATTAATTATTAAATCGTCTGAAGAAAAAAAAACTACGTGAAATATGTATCGTAATATTAATCTTTATCGAAATTAAGCATTATGTTATCAAGAGTATTTATGTAGAAGTAAAATACTTTTTGTTTCATCTCAATCGGATATTTCGTTTAAAAGTTATCACGTGTGTAAGATGTTAAGAGTTGGTACCTATTAATGAGTTATGGACCATAGAGTTTTTTATCAACATAAAAATCCTGTAACAATCTTTTTCGAAATATAGTAAGTAAGATCTTTGAAGAGTATAATAAATACATTTCTAAAATAACTCTGCTAAGGAAATCCACGCGCGCTTGATGTAAGCAAGACGACGGCGGCGCGGCGGCGGGCGAGACGAGGAGGCCGCGCTTGCTGGCCGCCTGTCGCTCTCCCCCCTCCCCCCGCCGCGCCGCCCGCGTGTTTTGGTTTACAAGGTACCATGCCGCGCGGCTCAGACGCGTGGTCGGCTCCCTACGGAACGGTTGAATGCAGCGTTGCGTTTTTTGAAGTCATTTACGATCGTTCCTTTGACATATTTCATGCGACTTTTAATAATTACTCACCTTACGTTTCTTTTACCTGATTACTACGTTTCAGTTTATTTTAATTAAGTTTTAATTTTATACGGTTTTTCTTTTATCTCTTTACTATTATGCCTAGAAAAAGAACTCAGCTTTCTAGGCAGACTGCTACTGCAAAGCGATTGCGACTTCTACGCAGCAATGAAACACCCGAAGAAAATCTGCACAGGTTGGCTACTCAACGAGCGATCAGTGAACAAAACCGTTTTAGGGAATCGAGTGTTGAACGTTCGCAGCGGTTAGTCTCACAAAATATCCGTACTTCGGCGAATCGACAACGGGAATCAAGTGCTGAACGTTCTCAACGTTTAGCCGCACAAAATTCCCGAACTTCGGCAAATCGCGAGCGGGAATCAAGCGCTGAACGTTCTCAACGTTTAGCTAAACAGAATTCCCGCACTTTGGCAAACCGGGAACGGGAATCAAGTGCTGAACGTTCCCATCGATTAGCACAGCAAAATGCACGAACAGCAGGGAACAGAACTCGCAGGCAATATAATTTATTGAATTCAGCATTTGCTTATGATTATACCCTTGACTATGCTGAGCTAAATGGTACTAATATTTGCAGAATGAATAAAATATGTAATTCATGTCAAGCAAAAAAATGGCCGGCTGAAGCTCCTGGACTGTGTTGTAGTGGTGGCAAAGTAAATATTCCTAAAATTCCAGCACCAACGTCAATTCTTAAAGATCTAATATCAGGCTCACATCCATCTTCTAAGCATTTCTTAAATCACTCTAGACAATATAATACTCTGTTTCAGATGACTTCATTTGGTGCCAAAGAAATTCGTGAAGGAAAATTTATGCCCACTTTTAAAGTCCAGGGGCAAGTTTACCATCTAATCGGTAATTTACTTCCACCTGAAGGCGCACAACCCGAATTTTTGCAAATATATTTTATTTCCCATACAGATCAGGTATCTTTACGCTCAAATTTAAACCCAACGTTAAAAACCGATCTTATCGACGCTCTCCAAACATATCTTCACGATCACAATACTTATATTCAAAGTTTTAAATATAATCTCGAAAACAGACCAACGAATGATTTTAAACTTATCATTCATGCTGATGTGAAACCTCCTAATGAACATCGAGGTCGATATAACGCGCCCATGGTAGATGAAGTAGCTGTTCTTTTAATAGATGAAGACAAAGGTCCCCGAGATATAGTGTTAAATACCAGAGACGGGCGCCTTCAGCGAGTTTCTGAAATACATAGATCTTATGACCCACTTCAATATCCTTTACTGTTTCCCTTTGGAAATGACGGATATTGTATAAATATTCCACAGCAAAATACTGCTGCTAGATCTAAAACTATATCATGTATGCAGTTTTATGCATTTAGACTCATGGTGAGAATAAATGACTTTAACAGCATACATTATTTCAAAGGATTATTTAATCAATACTGTGTTGATATGGCGGCAAAAATGATTTCTGAGAGGCTTGACTTCATAAAAAGAAATCAAAAAAAATTAAGAGCAGAAGAGTACATTCATTTAAGAGATGCCGTGGTTAATGATGGCAATGTAGACGCTTCTAATGTTGGCCAGCACGTTATATTGCCATCGTCATTTACAGGATCTCCTAGATACATGAATGAAAAAAGTCAAGATGCCATGATCTATGTTAGGAAATTTGGAAGACCAGATCTCTTTATAACATTCACATGTAACTCCGAATGGCCAGAAATAAAAATTGAGTTACTACCCGATCAAAATTCTTACGACAGACATGATTTGATTTCTAGAGTATTTCATTTAAAACTAAAAAAAATGATAGACTTATTAACGAAGAAAAATATATTTGGACCATCGAAAGCCTTCGTTTATAGTGTAGAATGGCAAAAAAGAGGTTTACCTCACGCTCACATTTTGTTGTGGCTGGCTAACAAAGTGCAACCGGATTCCATAGATGCAATAATATCGGCTGAAATACCTGACAAA